AGGGGTCTGGGTCCGCTGAGGTCGACCTTCTTCTGGGTGGAGGCAGCAGGAGGAGGACCTACACGATGAGGCACAGCCAAAGGAAGTCAGTACACAAGACGCAGAGCACAGAAAGAGCGCAGACGAGAGGCTTTAGAAAGAGAAGAGCGAGGCCTACCCTGCTTGTTCTTGATCTCCTTGGCCATGAGCAAGAAGGCCTGCTCGACGTTTGTGGAGTTCTTGGATGACGTCTCAACGAACGGAACGTTCAGCTCATCCGCAAGCTAAAAGTGGAGGACAGAACGGCGTGGTTACCACGTCAGCAAAAAGCATGCATGCGTGGACGAAATCTTCCAAAGTGATTTCCGACGAAGAGGAGAAGAAATCGGTCACAAAGTTGTAAGAAGGCGAAGTACCTGCTGGCCTCTGGCCTTGTCCACCACACGCTTGCTCTCAAGATCGCACTTCGTTCCGACCAAAAGCTTGCGCACCTAGAAAGCGGAGCAAAGGCGTGAGATCGCAAACGAATTTTCGAGGTTGTGGCAAATTTGGATGCAGGAGAAGCGTGAATGATGACGTACGTTATCTTGCGCATAGCGCTCGATCTCCTGGAACCAACCTCGCACGTGAGAGAACGAGGCCTCATCGGTGATGTCGTAGGCGATGATAATGCCGTGGGCGCCACGATAATAGGAAGAGGTGATCGTCCTGCAAGAGCGCAGCACCCAAGGGGGAAAGATGTCAGCGAATGAAGGTGTCCCTCATCAATCTCGCCCACAAAGGTGAAGAGAGCCTTGTCTGCAACTGGAGACCAAAACGAACCTGAATTTCTCTGTAGAAGGAAAGGCAATCGAAGAGAGATCAGCCGTGGGCTACATGGATGCAAAGAGGATTGAAGGCCTCAATAAGCGCGGGGAGGAGATTAGTACCCTGGCCAGCCGTGTCCCAAATCTGAAGCTTCACGCTCTTATCATCAATGTTGATAGTCCTGATCTTGAAGTCCACGCCAATGGTGGAGATGTACGACTCGCTGTACTCATCATCAGCAAAACGCAGCAGAAGAGCAGACTTGCCAACGCCTGCGTCGATAAGAAGCAAGAAGATGATCGAAGAACTTTTAGAAGGGAAAACGACAGCGCGCCGCGTAGACGAAAGTAGGTGGAAGTCTGAATGGAGCAGGGCTAAGTACCCGAGTCGCCGATGAGGAGGATCTTGAAGAGATAATCGTATTCCATGTGTGTTGTTTCTTGTTGTCCTTCTGAATGAAATGATGGTTGGATCAGAAGCGATCGACTGCAGCCTCCCCCCACGCAAGCTTTTGTCGCAACCACAGAAAATCCCAGATTCCTTCGTTCGCGAACTCCGGAACCGCCGGAATTTCGGTAGTGCAACTGGCCGAACCCCGAAACACGAGCGCGGATTGATTGAATTGACCGATTGGATTGTCATCACCATACCTTTGATGCTGGCTGGCGTGCTTTGCCTCACCTTCCTTATGCTTGCGATCAGGGGCTGGAAGGTCTTGATGTCTCGGCCTGGCGCTTTTTTGATTCTTGTAACGCCGTTCTTGGACGCCTGTCGACTGACGACATTGCTGTAAGGAGGGACAACTTTGTCAGGCGGTGAATAATAAAAGAAATAATTGCAATTATTAAAATTGCAAGAGCAAGAGCTACTTGTACGGCACCATGAGCGTTTGGGATGATGACGAGGACAGTTGGGTATGCTCCTCTTTTGATTCGCATCTCAAGGGCAATCTGTGGCAGCAATTTTTGGATTAATCTTGCCAATCTCAAGCCTTCTTTGCAATCAGCTGCCCAAAAGCCAACCCCCAAGTACGTCAGTGCACCTCCTTGTATGAACGATTAATTTTAAATTTGTATTTTTGTTTCATTTATAATTTTGCAGGCAATCGGTATGGGGCGCTGTGGAGCCTCCTCCCTCCGACAACCTGAGGTACACCTCTTCCGCAACACTCCTTTTTCCCTTTATTTATATGGATATATACAAGATTAAATCAAAGATCTATCTTCAGGAGTGTACACCCGTACTTTGCGGCTCAGCCCACTGTGCGCATCCTGGCACGAAGGGACGCACCATCAGCCGCGGGCGGGTCCTCCTCTGGCGCACCCTCGCCACCCCAGATACTGCAGCGCGCCGGTGGTACGGCCACTCTCTCATTTCCCGAACACACTGCAGGCCTGGTCATGCCCTAACCGCACACGCACCACACACAACACACAACACACAACACACAACACAACACACGATCTTGTTGTGTTCGTTCCTAATCAGGAGATGCGGCATCGTCGTCATCGATGCCGGCGCCACCACAGCTCGGCGGTCCGAAGACCATCGAGCTCCAGAAGCCGCAGAAGAGCCTCGAGGAGCGCGAGCGCGAGTACGCGCTGGCGCGACAGAAGATCTTCAACGACAACAAACAGGCGGCGGCCGAGCGCGAAGACAAGGAGCGGAGGGAGCGGGACAACACCACCAGGAACCACCACCAGCCTCAACACAACAGCGGCTCCTCCCGAGCTCGACCATCTGGCGGTCGAGGGGTCGACGATCCTTACGGTGGCGGCGGCCGTGGCGGCGGGCGAGGGGCTGGACGAAGCGGCAACCGAGGTGGCCGAGCCCGAGAGAACAACAACTACTGACACAACGCGCAAGCTTTCAATTTCTTCAACCGGGCTTTATTTATTGCAGTCGTGTGTCCATTTGCTCGTCCCCCTGACCGTGTCGTGTGGTATTGTGTGTTGCTTTTGCCCCTGGGCGAAGGCAGGTGCACGCGCGCGGATCGCGGCGTGTGGCCGAGAGGGGTCGCTTCGTTCGATGCCTTCGCTGCCCACATCGTTTCCAACTGTCGGATTCCCACTTGCTCCACCCACCAGCGGCTTTGCGCTCTGTATGCGTGTCGTGTCGTTGGTCGTGTCAGTCAGCACGCACACGGCACAAAGAGGGGAAGAGGCGGGAGAGGTACGATGGGAAGGGCAAGTGGCTCGCTTCGACAGTTGGAAACGATGTGGGCAGCGAAGGCATCGAACGAAGTGACCCTTCTCGGCCACACGCCGCGATCCGCGCGCGTGCACCGGCCTAGTCGACGGCTCGTCGGCTCTCGTTCAGTACTTCAGGGCTTTCTCCCTCTCGAACCCCTCTAGCAACTCGGCAATGAGGTAGGGGTCGAGGTTAAGGAGGTCGGGGCCGAGATCGTTGAATTCGTCTGTGCGTGAACTTATCAGTTTCCGTCATCGAAAAGAAATCACAACGCCAAGACACCAAGAACACGCAGCAGCACGTACCCTCCAGCGATTCACGCGCACATGTCTCAGCTGTCTCGGGCGAGTTGGCAAGTCCTCTTGTTGAGAAACCTTCCAACTCGATCGAGAGAGGTGACGTATCGACGCAGGAGACGGGCGATGACATCGGCGACGGCGACGGCGCGGGTGAACTCGTGCCGCCGCCTGACGGGACCGGAGACTGAATCGGGTCGGCGTGGGGCTGGACGACACTGGGCGGCGGCGCCGGGCCGAGTGGAGGCCATAGGACACCTGGCAGTGGTTGAAACGCCCAAAGGTCGGGAGCAGGCATGATGTTCCTGAACGGCGGCCGGCTGGAGGCCGCGGAGACAGGGCTGGTGGGCGCCGATGACGTGAGGCCGGGCGAAAGCGGCTGACGACCGGCGGCCTTGGTCCTCCGCCTCTTCTTCGGCGGCTCTCCCTGGGCCGCCTCTGTTTTCTGACAACGGCGCTTCGTGGAAGCGTTGGCGATCACCTTGCCCACTGATAGTAGCAGGAGTAGTTAAACGAGATGAGCATTAAGTGAGCGAGCGATTCCGAACGAACGCGTTGTGTGTCGTGTGTGTGTCGGCGCAGCGGAAGGGAAAAATGTAGCGTACGGTGGTAATGGCCTTGGGCGATAATGCTCCCCTGCTTGTCCACGATCCAGAGCTTCAGCGTGAAGGCCCCGCTGCTCTGGTGGCATGAGCTGCACGTGGGCTGGCAGGAGGCGAGCAGGAAAACGAGATGGGATGAGCAAACAAACAGGTCAGAAGACCAATCCAAATGGGGGGTGCACCTTGATTTTGATTCGGACGGAAGGCTTCGTTAGCGCGAGGAAGTCATGCTCATCGTCGATGGCGTTGATGCGAAGCTGGTTGTCTCCTTCCTTCAGCTTTTCCCTCTCTCTACACCCCTGGGTGCAATCATCAATCTGTTTGTGTTGTTTGCAATCCATCCAAATCAGTCTCGTAAAAGAATGAAGATGAAGAAGAAGATGGTACGTACTACGCCTCGGGGAGTGCTCAGCTCGCCTCCCAGGAAGTAGGTGGGAAGAATCCAGGTCTCCTCCTCGTCGGTGGTCTTGTGGTCCGCGTCGTTGCCCTGGTGGTAGTGCGCGGAGTCGATCTTGAGCCGAATGCCTTCGGGCAGGCCGTCGGGGAACCGCAAGACAAATCCAGAGTACACCGCCCTGGCAACTCGCCGCAGGGGCAAGTCGGATGAGGGCCTTTTCCAGTTGCCCTCCACCCACACGAGCGGTTCGAGTTCGATTCTTCCCTGGTCGACGTTCATCTCGCTCTTTCTTTTGTGGTCTGACTGGTGGCTTGTTGCGTTGCTGGTGCTGGTGGGCTGTGGTCAAGAGGAAGGCCTTCCGCCTTCTTCTACTTTGCGTGCGGTTTGTTACGTCCTACTGGGCCAATCAGCAGCGCGCAGCCACACCTTTCCCACCAGAGAATCGCGTTTGCAGTTTCGTTCAGCGCTTACCGCAAAAGGCAAAAGCGAGTACCCTGCTCGGTGTGTGTGCATCATAGTCTACATGGGGGGGTTTATTCTACTCTCCACACTTGTGCTCCAGACCTGCACTTCACGAAACTTTCTTGGTGGAGCCCTGCAGCTTTGCGGCTTCGAAGGTGGCCTGCTTCTCGAGCAGGTGGCGGATGTTGTCCCGCAGGGCGGTCATCCACTCGACGCCCTCCTCCGCGCTCTGGCACTCGAACACGAACGTATCTCGTGACGTGCTCAACAAAAACTTGCCGTCCTCCTTCCCTGTATTACGTGTCGTTGGTCGTGTCATGCGACGAGGGTCAATGGTGGGTTCTGCGTGGACGAACGCATCGGTTGGGCAAGATGGACGCACCTTTGCTGGTGGAGAGGGACGACGGGAGGGAGAGGGTTAGGAGGGGCAATCGGTGACGACAGGTGCGCTCCATCCTCGGCGAACTCCTGGACTGCTGCTCCGACAACAGTAGAAGCAAATCTGTGGTTCGCGCGTCGTGTCGCGTTGATCGCCGGTGAGCCGAGCCAGCAGAGAACAGGAAAGACGCGATGCAAGTGTGGGGTATGGCGGTACCGGTGAACAGATAGCATTGAACCTCTTCCATTCGCGGACTTTTCCCTTCGATCGAAAAGCACA